ATAAAAAGAAATTAAAATTAATAATGAATTTTTTTTAAATAGGAAATATATATGTTTATGATAAATACAAACATAAACGTAAAAATACAGAACCGCTTCATATCACATATGTAAACAACATTCCTCAGGAATGGCTCTTTTGAGCTTTAATTAATTTCTGATGACAAAAAAAAAAAAAACATAAACGTAAACACTAAATAAATATCAAATTTAATAAACGGATTTTATTAGATGAAAAACGTTAATTAATCTATATATATATATATATATATGTGTGTGTGTGTAATTGTGTATCACATGGTCTATAAATTTATCAACGATAAATTGAGCATCTATTCCATGTCAGAATCACTGGTTTGGCGTAGCTTCTCTTGGCGCATAGCTGGGAAATCTGAATTTTGGTCATTTTTAATACTATTGTTTTAGCAATCGATATTATTTGTCTGGTTTTTTATCAAAAAAATTAGATCCAGATAATGTCTTCCTTTTTTTAGCACCAAACTATTTAGAATTTTTTTTTCCGTTAGATCCAATCTTTAGAAGAAATCTTTTTACAAAAAACAACAAACACATGAAACTAGGTAAAATAACTATGAGATGTTTTTTGAGGATTCTTATATGGTTACGTTAGTACAAAATAACACATATTTAATTGGAAAATGCACAAATAGGTTTTGTTACGTCAGGTCCACAAAAAAAATTCATGAGGCCGGTATTTTTTATTATTATTATTATATTTTTTTTGTCATCAAGGCCGGTATTTTTATCATGTTGATTAGTAGTAAGATATTTCTAATAACTAGGATCTAACCCGCGGTTCACCGCAGGAAATTTTTTATTTTTACAGTTTTCAAATTAGTATTACAATTATATAAATTTTTTTTTTTTTGATAATTTAATTTAATTTAACACGTGTTACGTGCATTTAGTATTGTAATTATAAATTTAATGTGTCATTAACAATTCCATTTAACTCATTTTCTATTGAATAAATACTAATTCTAACCCGCTTTTGCGGGTCGGTTTTTTTAATTTAGACCCAAAAAATTTTAATCGGATCATTCCTTAAATTATGGCGAAACCCAAAACGAAATTATTCATAAAATCTAAAAATATATCTTTTCTCAATACATTTTTAGATATTGACCAAATTTTCCAATAATGTTTTATAGATATTTTTTGAAGATTTTATTTCCAAATATATTATTTCTTATTTTAAAAAAAATTGTTACATAAATTTGTTGACATATATATTTCGAGTATATATATCAGCAAAAAAAAAAATACATGAAAAAATGATGGATTAAAAAATCATATGTTAGAATATGTTGTTTTTTGACGGCAAATTTTAGAATATGTACAATCCAATAAAATTATGATGGAATGTGTAAACTGTTTTCAACAAAGAATTGATTATATTTTTGATCATTTGAAATTGACTTACAAAGAATAACATCATAGTATCATCATGCGTTGTAGTCAAAGGAAGTATTCTTCTCCTAATATGTTTTTAGTATGAGAATGATCTATAAAAAAAAATAAAGATTAGTTATAAAAAATAATATTTCAATTAAAGCTTGATAAAAAAAAATATGAATAAATACCTCAAAATCATGTGTGCGCCTACATTATCATCTTTCGCACATCACACTACATGCATAAATATTAAAAAAACAAATGTGAGAAACAGTATGAAAATAAAGTTTTATAAATTATAAACGAAAATGTTATTCAAAAAAATGAATTAAACAAATGAAACGAAATCGAGATTATTTTAATGATATTTCGTTTCAGTAGAATGACATGCTCTTATATAGTGAAGATGACGTGGCGATTTAGGGATATTAGAAAGGAATATTCTGTTTGCAATAAATTTATATTCTTTAGCTTGTAGAGGAATTTTTCGAATTATATGATATGGAAATTTATAGGATTCAGTTTATAGGAAACTTTATTTTAGGAATGTTAATCGTGCTGATTTTTAATTAAATCAAAGTTTATAATAATTACGTTATTATTGCTTTTGATTTGGAAAGTCTTAATAAACATTTAAGATGGTTAGTTTAAATAATATCCGGAAAGTGTGTGATTTTACCAGATTTTCATCGATCCTTTCTTTACATATGCACAATTACGAATTAATGCTAATTCTAACCCGTTTCACCAATTGATTTGCGAGCTCTTAATATTTTTTACCAACATAATATTTTTGA